CTCTTCCAAAAAAAAAAAAAAAAAAGCCCTATGAAATGGCTCCAGCAGACTTTCTTACATGGGAATGACATTGCAGTGCTGTTGTTAAATTCATTACGTTTGAGACTGTGTATACCTTATCAGCCTGCTTAAGGCCAGGGAAGCTGACTTTGCCAGGCTCTGTGCATGCAGCAGAACAAATAGAAGTAAATTAATATGGTAATATTAAAAATTAAATAATACCACCCGTAGTTGGCGAAGTCATTTAATCCATCTCATTACTAGTGTTGCATCATCTAAAGTTGAATTAAGAAGGGAAAAGACTCCTTCTGCTTTATGCTCCTGCAGGAGGATTGGAGTATTTTAAATAAACCCCAAGTGCTTATCCTGTCTGACTGCAGGCTGTGGCTATAAAGATCTTGTTTTCAGTGATCTCTAAACATTGGTTGCTTTAGCAGGATACGGGAGTCTGATACTGTACCACTTGTTTTCAAAAGATAACTTCAGTATAAAGGAAACAATTTCCACCCCTACCTTCAAGCTGTGGGTGGAATACCAAAGCCCAGAAGCTGCACTGGAAGCTGAGGCCTCATCACCGCTAAGATGTAGTGTGCTGTAGGTGATGCGTACTTTGGCATCGATAGTTTGTGCCAGAACAGGCACCAATTCTAGAATCATGGAATCATTTAGGTTGGAAAAGACCTTTAAGGTCATGGAGTCAAACCATTAACCCAGCACTGCCAAGGCCAGCACTAAACCATGTCCCCAAGTGCCACATCTACATGTCTTTTCGATACCTCCAGGAATGCTGACTCTACCACTGCCCTGGGTAGCTTTGAACAAACTTGCAAAACTGACAAGGCAGTAGCTAAGAGGAGAGGTCACCTGGCTAAGCAGGGAGCTGCAGGTAGGTAATGTGTCCTTTAGCTCAGAATTGGCCAGCTCATGAGTGACAGGAGAACTTAAGGGTTCACAATTTCACTTGTAGCCTTCAGCCCCCCAACAGCTGTAGACAGCTTGTGCTCAGGAGTGAAACACCCTCTTATCTTTTCATTGACAAGGCACCCAGCTGTGCCATGAATATTGGGGCTTTCTTTTTTGTGTACCTCCATTAAAATACCAACTGTTGGGTTGAGATGCTGAGCTAGTTCTGCTTACAGCTGTGACTTTGACCCCAGTGTAGGTGCACAACTTGTTCATCGTGGCGTGAATGTCTACCCGCTTCCCTTTGAATTTTATTGACAGTGACTTGCAGTCTCTTGGCTTTCCTTGAGCTGGGAAATCGGTAGCTGCTGTTGCTATTTTGAAAGGTGCATGTTGATTTTGATGTTTCAATTGGCATTTACATGCAGCAAGGAATGGGTTGTTTCAGCCTCCTATCAGTGTTGAGTTGTCATAGCTAGTTAAGAGATGATGGTTAAAAAATGGCTTTGACCAAGAGGCTTCTATCCAAAGAGCCAGATGTCTAGTTGCTTCTTAGAAGGTAGAAGAAGCAACCTGAATCATTGACATATATTTGTCAAGACATTATCAGGTTTTAATAAGTAGGTATAATGCTTGGTTTTGGAACATGATGTAATTTTCTTTCCAGTCGCACAAATATAGCCTTAAATACAGCTGCTTTATGGAGTAATTTAGCTGCAAAAAGCTCAAAAAGAATGAATTGGGTAGAGGTAGTTTTCTCAGTATGTTGAAGGAACTGAAAATAAGCACAAAGTTAGAATTTTTAAATAGGACCACTTGCTCAAATGACACCTTACAGTTTCAATGCTACTGTATAATCTACTGCTTGTATAAGAAATTACACATTTTGATAAGGTACATCTGTGAGCATCCATTGTCATCCACTCACAGTTGTCCAATTTGAGGATGTTAAGACAAGGGTCTAATAACAGCTTAAAGAAGTCTTCAGTTCTTAAAATTATGTCCTTATTGTTCTTTGGTTTCTGCTGTTAATCTGGGGGGATTTTTGTACATTAATAATGTTAAATTTATTATACCAAAGCAGCATTTCTCTTAGTTTGATGCTCACCATCAGATTCAGGTTTCAGATTAGGAATGGAGACAGTGAAGTGAAGAAGGATATCAGATGTTTCTGTGGTTTTGTAAAATCTGATTTCCAGCACAGGTTAGTGCCCCAGAGTGGTAAATCCCAGAGTGACATTGCCATTTTTATTTTTAATTGAGGAGAGGTACTAAAATCAAAAGCAAAGAGTAAGGATTCCATACAGCCTTATATATACATATATATATATATTCTCTTTTTTTTTTTTTCCCTGCTGAAATTTCACCTTCATACCAATTTTATCAATTTAATGTGAAATATCAAATTAACTGGAGATTCCCAGACTTAAATAGTCATGCAATCCCAGACTGGTTTGTGCTGGAAGGCCCTTAAAGCTCATCCAGTTCCAACCCCCTGCCACAGACAGGGACACCTTCCACTAGAGCAGGGTGCT